CGGTTCCGTTCCGCGGTCCGGCGGTTGGGGACCCCCGGCCTCAGGGGTCAAAGGTCAGGAGCATTCAATGTTGGTTTTCGGCCTTGCCGCTTATATGCAGTGATTTCTCCAGATTCTCTGAACCTTTTGATGACATTGTTGATGACAGATGATGAAATCCCTACAGTCCTTGCAACTGTACGTTGAGAAACATTGTCCTTAAACTGTTTGACTATTGTCTCATGCAGTTGTTGACAAAGAGGTGAATCTTGCCCCACCTTTGCTTGTGAATGACCGATTAATTCAAGAAAGCTCTTTTTATACCCAATCATTGCAACCACCTGTTCCCGGTTAGTCTCTTCACCCATGGGATGTTCTAAACAAGTGTTTCATGAGAATTTCTCAACTTTCTCAATCTTTTCTGCCACCTGTCCAGCGTTTTTGGAATGTGTTGCTGCCATAACATTCTTAGTTCATGATTAGTTGTGATAAACAATAACGTTTATCAGTTTGAACATTGATGTCTTTGTCTTTGTGGTCTATTCAATTAAATATAGGTTGAACATGATTTGCAATTATGTTTAATACAATGTCCCGACTTCATTGGAATTGGGTTTGTAGTTTCAATTCGAGTTTTGTTTTATTTGTGGACAGAGATCATTAAAAGAAGTAAAAAGCGTTAAATGTCTTAAACCAATTTATTATTATTAACACAAACAACAGAGAACAACTAACAGGCGGCTGTGGTCTGATTTTGCTCATGGAATGACTGACAAATTTTTTGCACAGAAATTGCATATATAATGTCAGCAGAATGACTATGGTTGCAAGGGCAACACAATTATAATTTCAACACGTGAGATTTATAAAGATGGTCATATCCAGCACTTTTCAGGTTGTAGTATCGCAACTTGCCAAACAGAGGTTCACTTAGAGCACATATGTCAAAGTGCCGGCCCGCGGGCCAAATCCGGCCCGCGAGAATGTTTTCAGTGGCCCCTGGGATGATATTGATTTATTATTAGAACCGGCCCACGGACCGCAGCAAGCCGAGAGCCCGCAGATCTTTTACACGCACCAATACTACATTACCCACAATGCAACGGTGACACGCCAAGCAGTCGGCCGCTTTATTTAAATATTTATTAGTCTAGCAGTCGTTCCCATAACAGTAACATTAGCTTTCAGATACCCATCAAAAATGGCAAAACGGAAGGTGGACACTGAGAACCGGGGGTTTCAAACAAGGTGGGAGTCGAAGTACATGTTCATGGACGTAGCTGGAAAACCTGTGTGTCTTCTGTACGGAGAAAGTGTGGCGCGATTGAAATAGTGTAATCTGAGACGACATCATGAAACGAAACACGCGAACAAAAACAAGAACATGGACATGGAGGGGGAAGGGGGATTTAATTAAAAATGGTATACTTAAAGTTTGTGACGACGTTTACCCTGAAAAAAGCAACTCTTTTTAAACGTGAGCATTAGCAGAAACACAATTGCAGTGTTTCTGCAAAGATACGGCAGTGCGTGCTGCGCAGTTTGCCCGTTTCCTCCCCGACACAGTGGCCCCGCTGCGCATCCAGGCTGCTCAAACGTTGTCGAAAGTTTGGCAGCACATATGTGTGTGAACAACTATTTTCTTTGATGAAGCTGAACAAAACATCACACAGAAGTCGATTTACTGCTGAACACCCTCACTCAATTTTGAGGATTTGCCCAGCTCAGAGCCTGCCCCCAAATATGAAGAAAGTGTTGTTTTTGGTTTGTACATTTTTGCACTTTATTTTATTGTATTTCAATCCAATTATGTTTTAAAAATATTTTATTCAAGTAAATGATTGAAAATTACTGTACTATTATTTGTTAAGTAAATTTAGCCTACTTTTGCTAAAAGAGAAAATATGGACTATTGATAGTGCCTTGAATAATATCGGCTTCTTTCATTCATGTTATGGGGATTTTTATACAAAGGAAATTTTTTTGTGCCTGTTGAAAATTAAAGTTTACTGACATAGCCATAAAAAAAATGTTGCTTTATTTATCTGACCATATTGGAATGTATTTGTTAGGTTTTCAGTCAATTAAATTTGGTTCAATAAACAATATGTGGTCATTTTTACAATTTTCAATGAACATTCGATCAGTCCGGCCCTCGGCTTGCAGCAAAATTTTTTATCTGGCCCTCCGTCCATTTGACTTTGACACCCCTGACTTTGAGTGATGATGGATGGCTTGGACACTTACTTCCCCACCATCATCTGGATTTGATGTTGGATCTCAGCCCGGATGTTCGCTGTGATGCTATTGGCCAGTTGATCGGTGGAGCTTTGGAAGCCGTCCAACATATGTTGCAGTTGGTCAATCATGGGGTCTCGCGTTTCCTGCTCTCTCTGCTTTTTGCCTTTTGCATGGGCCTCAAGCTGCTGTATATCTGCAGAGAAAGATCAACAACTCCAATCTCATCCTCACACAAACAAATAAGACAAGAACAGTTCCCTACAAATGGTGTCTAATTGACCTAAGCATTGTACAAGTAGTAACAATAATGATAACTTCTGCGAGTATGAGATAACCTGTGATGCCTAGCAGCCTGAGATAGTTCCCGACTGGTCATTGTAATAGCATTTAATCTATCTCCAAAAATAGTCTGATACATACAAAAATAAATGTATGCCTTTAGGCGCAGCAGAGGCAAAACTTGGGAGACAACTTGATACACCACATTAATTAATACTCCGTTGAAAAGACTAAATGGTATTTCATCCATGGAAACATAATGCAGATTTTCTCTCCCTTTATGCTTTTGCAGGTCTTCACTACAAATACACACTACTGGTTGAAAATCTGGTTCTCATGAGTTGAATAAAGTTTAAAGTTCTTTTCAGATATGACTGAGTGTACAGGTGTAATATATTTGAAAACTTATTTCAAGAACAGAAGAAAGTGTCGATGGACACAGACTTCTTTTTTTTTCCAACACTGATGCAGTGATTGCTGTGTCAGGAATTTACTTTACACCTGCCCATCTGACCAAAAATCGGGATTCGGTGCTACAGACATCAAACAGTTTCCAACTTTGTCAAGATCCCCCTGCCTGCGGAACGCATCAACCCCCAAAAATGCTAGAGGTGCTGACTCATATGCACAGTCCCTTCACATGGTTTGTTTCTGAGCTTTGTGTGAGTCTGAACCACGGTTCATATGTGTCAAACTGAATTTCACCTCAAGGGACAAATGATGTTTCTTGATTGAACAGGAAAATAAATAACCACCCATTAAACAAAAAATAAATTCCACGTCAACGAAACAGTCCTTGGCTGAAAGAGAGCAGCAATGATAAATTTTCACACACAAAGTTATAGTCAAGTTTACGCGCTAGATTGTAAACCGTCAATTGTGTTCACGTTTATCTATAACATTTTAAAACTCCCCATTTATGGCCAACAAATTGGATTTGTCCTCCTTCACGCAGAAGAGCAACTTTGCTGAAGTTTTCAAGACGTTGCTGGTGTGAAAAAGCACAACCTCAGAACTACTGCACACCATCTCAGGTAGGGTTGTCACCATACCAACATTTTGTTATCGGTACAGGTACCAACATGTATTTGGATATTTTTCGATACTTTTTCAAATAAAAAAGAATGCACACATTTTGTTCATATTTGAAATAGCATTTTTGTCACACATCAATTCGTACGTCCTTTGCTCTCTGTGACTCCCCATTAGCACTGATGAACAATTGTGGACCCCTCCAGCATTTAAATTGCCCATTCTTGCATTGCATGATCAGAATTTTAGAGGCGACCACCGATCAATGAGTTTAAAAAATACCCCAAAAACGATAACCGATTCATTCAAAAGATGAACCAACCTTTCCAATCTATTAAAACGACTTCTTTACTGTAAGTTCAACTCCTGCTATTCATGTGGGGTTGGGCCCAGCCGGGACCACGAACAGTCAAAATTTGGAGCACCCACTGAAATGCAGTGAGAAAAAAATAGTAATAATTAAACCCTAAATATTTTCCCTCCAAAATGAAACAAATGTTGAACTGAAATAAAATCTGACTATGCTGAGAAACATTAGATTATTAACGATGGCAGCACAGAAGTTCGCTGGAATGAATAGGGTTGTTTGCTCTAAATTTTCTTCTTATTTTGCGGATGAACCATGTCATTGATCGATCGGGAAATTCTGACATTACAAACTATCACTGATTGTGCATAGTGTCGGGGAAAAATCTGCTGCACAGATCCAGCTGATCAAATCTGTGTAAAGTCTAGTTACCAGTTACAAATTTGAATGCCAATCATCTGAAAACACCACAAAGCATTTTGAAGCACGAGGGGCTGTACGAGGTATTATGTCTTAATTTAAAATTATTTTGAACATATGCAGTTTAACAAAATCATCACGTTGCTCATTTTACACGTTGATTTCCAAACAATGAAAATGGACTTACATTCTTGTGTTCCTTGCTTGAAACTTTCATTAATTTGCTGAAACATGGTCTGACAGCCTCTCTCAAAAACAGGCAGCACAATGCTCTGGAAGGCATCTTTGTAGGCAGCCTGAATAGGACCTTGCATTGCTTCTGCTGCGGCTCGGCCAATTGCATCTGTGGTGTTCTAGCAACAAAGAAAGAGCTTAATGTGAGCAAAGACCTAAATGGAGCAAGGCAATATTGATCTTAGACCACGGACAGTCATACAAGGAATGGTGGTGAAGCCCAGACCCCTACCTTGGATTTGACAACCTTACTGACGTTGTCCTTCAGGGTAACCTCGACAGAGGTCAGTTTAGAAGAAATAGTGTTGCTCAGTTGAGATGTCACTGGCTCCAGACTCTTCGAAATGGCTAAACAGGTTTAAAAAAAAAAAAAGGAAAATAAAAAAGAAGAAAAACACACACACAGGCCTTCAATCACCTTATTACACAGGCAAGCGACCAAAGATCAAGTCCATCTTCGTCCTAAGGTTTCCCTACTAAGCACAACTTGAATTGTGGTTATTCTAAATTTACGTTGAGATAAGATTTGAATGGGGGTGGGAGGGCTAAATTTGGGAGAAAATAATAAAGAACAAGACTAATCATAACTGGTAATTGTAGGTGCTGGAAGAAAACACTTGGGATGAGACTCAAACGTTGAGGAAAAAAAAGTTAATGATATGAAAACGATCTCTTCGCCGGCTAAATAAAATGGTTGTATCTCAACCATCTTCTAAGAACTGTCACATTTACAGACACGATCATTTGTCAAGGGTACAGCTTTTTGAAACATTTGTATCCATTAATTGTTTGTGTTTCTCTTTACTTGGCGGAACAGTTTTCTTCATCTCCTCTCGAAGGATTTTGTCCATCTTGTTAGTTAGGGAATTGCAAAGGGTCTGGCTCAGCTGCTGGCTGAGTTGTTTCTGATGATGCTGCTGATTCAGACTCTCTCCCAGAACCCGCTCTAGTCTGCACCCTGAGGTCATTGAAAGTTAAAGTTCACAAGAAGACGATATTGTGTATGTGCCATAATTGAGACGAGATAGGGCACTATAATGTCAGATTGGTTGGTCGTTGTACCTTCAAAATACAGATCAGATAACATTCATGGAAAAGCTACAACCTTTTTGACAAACTATGTCAAACTAATGTCTCATAGCATGACATGATTCAGGTTCAAATTCCACATAAGTCATTTTCCCTGTGACTGTGTCAATCTAGTGACTGTGTGAGATGTGGGATTCTTCCTTATAAATATTACAAGACAAACTAAATTGACATGCTCCAGTCTCACTAGATATGAAGGATACGTTCTTGTTCCTGATGGTTAGTCAATGCACGTTCTACTTGGGCCATAATAGAGCTTTGCATGGCTTCAATTTGTCCACGTAGTTCAGTTAACTCTCTCTGTTGGCCTCGGAGAAACATCAACAACTCTTGCTGCACATCTGTATTCATCTGCGGAGGGCATGAACAAAACACAAGAAAAAAAAATTGTTACTTAACAACTAGCGTTTAAGTCAGGATTTAAGAATGACTTGTCCTGACTTCGTTAATAAACTCACAAACTTGGTGCACATGTAGGAAGACTAGCCGGGTTTACATGCAAACTTTTTTGTCATTCCGGTTCAAATTATTCCAACTGAAGACCAACTGTTTACCTATTCCAATCTGGTTTTAACATGTTCCATTACATTTAATCAGAAGGTCCTTACAGAGGTCCTTTTCTATTGTACCAGTTCCACCCCGAAACAGCCTGGTGTTGTCACTTTTCTATTACACTTTTTTGGGACTGTGTTGTCAAAATGGAACAGTTCCTCTTCTAATGTGTGGCTAGAATGCAAGCGGAGGAGGGCTGTGATGACACTGTCATCGGATTGGCCAATGGATGTCGCAGCTTATTTGAGCAATGCAACCATAAAATCCACATTTCCTGGTTTTAAGCGTACGACTATTAACTAAAGCAGGTTTTTGCCCGACACCAGCAATATGTAGTAATGAATGAAATAGTGATGCTTGTGGTAAAGATTTTTTCCAGCAGCGTGCACCTCACCAGGTTGATTAATTTGAATGAGCGACCTCACCATTCAAATTAATTGAGAGGTCTCCAGGTCGCCAAAAAGAGGGCAAGGCAATTTCTGTGTTACCTTCCGGTGGTCTTGACCACGATGCAGATGTTCTCCAGCCACCGGGGGAGTCACCGGAGGGCTTCGGACATCCGAGGGTTACGGCGATAACGAGCAACTCAGAGAGGCAGCTAAGTTACATTCACTTGGCCGCCTCTCTGATTTGCTGCCACTGTTCCCACTATTTCATCCATTAGTACAAAAAAGTTCTAAATATGGTCAAGTATTGTTTTTGTTAAAGTATGCGGACTGCATATAAGAGAACTGTACATGCAAACATTGCAGGAAAAGTAGTTCAAAACAAACTCTCCTGTCCCAGACCAGCTCTGGTTGGAAGCTTCCATTTTCAAGTGTGTAAAATTAATATCACTGCACATTTCTGTCAAGACGGAGTATGCGCAGACAGGACGCCACATGGTTTTTCCAATTAAACTATATACATGACTTCTGATCGAATTGGCATCAGTAATATACCACCCCTGTGGATCAGAATGAAATGGCTTTTGTTCATTCCCATTGAGGTTTTTGTATAGATTATGTTCATTCGGTTCGGGCGTAAGGTTTCATTCATATTGAAATACAAGTATAACACAAGTATAAACACGGCTACTAAAAGGGTTGTCACGACATAAAAACAAAAAATCTGGACTTTTCTTTCACACTTTTACTTCTTTGGAATACTTTACCTGACCGGAGTCCAAATGTCTCGACTGAGGTGATTCTCTATTGAGAAAAAAGAATGAAGTTTGCTTATCTGTTCACAATTTCTCAATTTTCACATTGACATGAAACGTCAACACACCTCTCATCTTTTTTGGTCTTTCTCTTCAGCTTTGGTGAGGCTCTGGGTGAGGTTTTCCAGTCTTTAACTGGTATTCTGTGAGAGGAACGTGTGCCACA